TTGCGTGTCTGCCTCTCTTTGCGACTGTATATCCTCTCCAGTAGATATAGTAAGACTTCCTCCTTTCTGTAGACGTGTTTTCTTAGCCCTTCGACGCCGACTTAATATTGCATTCTCCTCTCGAAGGATTTAAACCTCTGACTCTAGTAATGCTACCCGATGCCCTAGTCCTTCTGTCCCTCTGGCTAGCTTACTCACAGCACTATAAATTGATGCTGGAGAGCTGCTTCGGTGGCGTGAGATTCGACTCTTAATAAAAGTAGACTGTGATCTTGCTTCGCTTGGGTTGCTCGGCGTCCTAGAGATCCAAGGGTCTGGTGTCTGAGGGACCCCCTCCTCAGGCGTTGGCGTTCGGAACTTTACATCCAGCTTTGAGAGAACACTTTCTGCATTCAAAGGGACAAGTCCAGCTCCTCGGAAACCTCCCTGGATATTTTTCCTCGTAAAAGACTGCTTAAAAGCTTCGTGAAATGCTGCAAAGAAATCTTCCTTCGAGATATGGGTTGTGCCTCGCCGCATCTTATTCTCAATTTGCCGACCGTAGGCATTCTTTAACGGCTGAAAACAACCAACATCTAAGGGTTGAAGTAGATGAGACGAGTGAGCCGGCATGCACAGTGTAATAATGTTGTTTTCTTGACAAAAGAGCTCGAAGGCTGCGGAGTGGTGACTTTCATGACCATCAACAACGAGGAGGCGATATTTCCCAGACGTACGTGGTTTTGTATAAATGTCGAAGTGTCTGATCCAGTCAATACCTCTCTCGTTTGTTGTCCATCCATTTTCAGACGTTGCAATAGCCTAATCGCCCGGAAGAGAGGTTTCTGTATACCAGCTTGAGAGGTGATACTGGCCTGCAACGATGATGTATGGCGGGATGCTCTCCCCTTGGGAATTAATAGCCTGGATAACTATAACCCATTCCCTATTGCCAGGCTGTGTCATCTTCGTATTTGAACGCCTTTCAGCACTTGTAACAACCATTCCAGAAGCAATAACGCCCATCATAAAGCCGGTCTCATCAAAGTTGTAGATATCAGCATCAGCAATACCATACTTCGCAATTGTATTCTTCACAAGCGAAAACCAGCCACGAATCACCTCTGGATCTTCGCATTGAGCTCTCTTATAGTCATACTTGCGAAAGAAACGCGTCCTAAGCTGTGGTTGTCGCTTGACGAAATTAGAAGCCCAGCGCTTCCCAACTGGAGGCGCGTCGCGCTCTGCGAGAAGTCGATTGGCCATTTCTTCCACACCACTCAGCCGGGGAGGAAATGATCGCGCATCTAGGTCGAGAATATACTCAACTATTGTCTTCTCTTCTAAATCTGATAAATTCCGTGAATTAGGCATGCTGTCGCGTCGTGAGACTATTCCCTTTAGTCGCCGGCTTAATGTTGCGTGACTGACTGTATAGAGTGCACCTGCGGCCCGAGCACTAAGTTTTGGGTCATTTCTCATTGCTTGAAGGGCAATTTGTAACCTTCTTTCAATACTAGCTGATTCCATGATTTATTGTAGAGGAAAAGGTGCCGGTCGCGTCAAGGTGCGACGGTCGCGGTTTACTGTCTCACTCGCTTGTCTGTCTCACTCGCTTATCATGTACGTTACTTATTTAAAAAATCTAGGAAATTAATATTTATACTTATTAAAAGTATATAATTATATCTAAAAGAGATTTAAAAGTATTACTTTAGTAAATATAGTATAATTAAGGGTTAAAATTCTATAATAGAAACTTTTCTTAAGGGAAATTTTAAAATATTATTCTAAGCTTAAAGAATTTTTTACTAAGTATAAGAATATATAAATCTACTATATCTTACTTAAAAATTCTAATCATATTAGTTAAATATCTCTACCTATTTTATATATTAAGATATAGGCTAGGTAAATTAGTATTATAAATGTTAAACCTTGAATTTATAATACTTATTATCAATAATACTAGTATATAGCTACTTAAGTATTATAATTAAGTCTTAATCTATTTAATATATATTTATTCTCTTTAATAAGTAAAGTATTTAGTTTAATATAGAATTTCGAAAAACGGCGTTTTTGGTGTAAATGGGGTGCCCAAATGTGGGGGGTGCCCAGAAGTGGGTGTGGGACGTTACCTTGTGCTTGGTAGGCGCTTCCATTGACAGAGTGCTGCCGGGCAGGGGTACCTGACGTTGTTGGTCTGATCTGGGGCACCCTTCGGTTGTTCTTCTACTGGTCTTGTTTTTTTTTTTTTTCCCATCTTTTTTTGTTTGCCATTTGACGGATGCTGATAAACGGGAAATGTGTGGTTTGATGCATCAAGAAGGGGGCCATGGAAAATCAATTGACTACCGCAAGAGACAAAGGAAAAAAGGGGGCAGAGAAATGAGCAGCTTGGGAAGTCGGGGCATGAGTGGGCATCATTTAGCTGACGGCCCCCTCACCGCAGCGGCACAGGCAGGTGGCCCAGCAGGTTTTGGGAGGCAGGACAGGAACATCATGGCCATCCCCCCCGACCCGCTTTGTGACTCTGCAAGCATCGCCATCTGCTCGCTGCTTAGGCTGCGATCTGCAATCGTTTTGTCGGCCGGTTGGTTGGGCTTGTGTCTTGGTTAATGGTTGCCAAGAGCACGCACCCTTTGCGAGAATGTGAAGGAGGAGCGAGTCAATTTTTCACAAGGCAGAATGATTGAAGTGGGTTGCTGCTCGTGTAAGGAGGAAATTTTGAGTTTGAGGGGTGATTGCCGAGGTGTGTTATGTTGGTCGCTACTTACGGTACATACATAGTACGGGGGGGATGGTGCACGAAATTGAGGCCATTCCCAGCGGGTTTCCCGGGCATTTCGGTACTTATGGCGGGCCGTTTGAAAGCTGCTGACTGTTACTGAACGAGAATGGCCTTCGTCATCAGGACGAAATAGGAGTCGTCTGTGTGGTTGGTTTCTGCATGTTTCGTGACGCTGGAAATCTGGGTTTTCACCCCGTCTCCACCCAGCATCTGCAGCCTACATTTTTAAATTGTACTGTGTTTTGTTGTGTTGTGTTGTGTGCGTGTGCGTGTGTGTGTTTTTTTTTTCCTGCCATGTGTCGTCTTCCCATGGACTGTGTTTTGCGGTCAAGAATTGTCTGAAAACGACGGGACGACGGTGGTCAGGACTGGCCTGGGGGAGCTGGGAGAGGCTGAAATGCCTCACTGAAAGAGGGTACTCTCTTGTATTTTTGGCTACTGTTTTGGGGGTGGGTGTACTTTGAGTGACAGGGCCAGTTCTCGCCGTTCGGACTGAGGTGGGCGGGTGGGCTGGACTGGGCCGACCGGGGGAAGAAGGCACGAAGCAACCCAAGAGGCTCAGACGTGCGCCGGGATTGGCGGGAGCGGAGTACGCTAACCCCGATCAAGCAGCCCGGTTCTAAGGTACCTGGACCGCTCCTGCCTACTGGGAAGGACCTGGACCAAGCAAAAACTGCTTGCTGCACCTGTTCTGTGCAGGTGCGAGTGACGACCCCTTCCAAAAGTGGGTGAATCGCGACGGGATCCTCACGACACCTGGAAAGAGACAGTAGGAGCTGAGAAGGCTGGAGAGAGAAAAGGCGAGAGAAAAGAAGGGAGAGGAAGGAAGGAAGGAAAACAATAGGGCAATGGAGAAGCATGTACTCGAGGGTAGGCAACTGCTTAGAAACGACTCGACACAAATCACACACACAACAACAGAAGGCGCGCACGTACACACCGCATTTGCATTGCCCAACATGAGCGGTCGGGGGACATTTTTAGATGCTTTTGGCGAGAAGCAAAAAATAGAGAGAGCAGGAGCAGGAGCAGTAGCAGCAGCAGTAGCAGGAACAGTAGCATTAGGCAGGGAAAGAAGGAGCTTCACTCGGAAAGAGAAAGAGATGATTCCATCCGACCCGGCTTCGCCTCGCCTTTCGCCCTCGCCCAGTCCACCCCAACCCATCCACACATCCCATCCCATCAACTGTCATCTCCCCCCAATATCCGCTCGCTCTGCACTTCTCGTCAATCTTCGTCCCCAATCCATCATCTCATCCCCCGTTCCCCCTTCTTCCCCCCCTCCTCTTTCTCTCCACCCACTTCGTTGTCTTTTCTCTTCTCATTCATCCTTTCTAAACCAGCTCGTGCTATCCATATGTCGTTGCTACTATACTGATACTAAGTGATTGACTGGGCTGCAACATCATCACCACCACCTTAACGCACCTTCACTACCACCAACACCACCATATTCACAGTCAGTCAGTACAGTACAGCATTAAAGCCCTGGTATAACCTCCTCAACCTCAGCCCTCCCCCAGGGCCCGGCGATTTATCCCCTATTCAGCTCCCACCACGCCCTGCGCCTATCGCCTACTCCATCTACCCATCGCATGGTATCGTATCTCATCATATCGATCGATATAACACCGCTCCGCAGAGCCAAGCTGGGCGAAGCTCCAATCCAACGTCAGTCAGAGACACACGCAGTACACGTCTCTTAACTTCGGACGCCGCACACGCCCACCACACGCACCCTAGGTATCCCACACATCGTTGGACACCGACTCCATCAATCATCGCCACCCGCTCCTCCTCCAGCGTTTCCAGGACCCAGCGGCCTCCCAATTCCCTGGCCTCAAACTTCGCGATAGCATCAACCATCTTCATTTCGCGTAACCAGCGCACCCAACCCATTGGGTACCCCTGCACCTAACTCCCCACGGCGCCAACCAAACACCACACCACCACGTCCTCGTTTTTTTTTTTCTTCCCGCGATCCGCCTCACCTGGCCTGGTCACGTCCTTCTCGAAAGTCCCTCCCCTCCCCAACGCGTAACCCCAATTCGACTGTCCAACATTCGCCTTCCGCACATGGGTCCGCGATCATCGTAGTGGTAGCAATCCCCCCTCTTCCCCTACCCTTCTCTTTTCTTCTTCCCCCCGCCATCACCTCGTCGTGCATCCAGACATCCACCACGGAAGCAGACTAGGTGCCCGCGACCACGACGCCGTCGCTTTCACCATGGAGCAACCCAAAGACTTCCGCTCGACGGTGTTGCAGGCGCCTGCCCGCAATGACGACCGCGACGACGATCGTGAACGCCGCCATCATCGCGACATTATGAACCCGACGCCCGGAAGCACGCGCCATTCGGGCTTCAGCCTGCGATCACCTACGCAGTCTGAGTTCCATCACCCGCAGCACTCGGCCTACTCGTCGCCCAAGGCGTCATCGCACTCCCACACGCATCATTCCCCGAGATCTCATCAGTCCGGCCTGTCGCATCCGAATCCCCTCTACTCCTCGTCTTCGTCATCGTTGCCGGCGCTGGGAGGAAGCAATAGCAGCAGCTCCGGGGCGGGCCATCATCAGGCGCCTCCGTTATCGCCGCTCCATCCTCCCAGCGGATACTACCCGCCACCCGAGTCGCATTCGTCGCGCGAAAAGCCGACTACGAGCAGTTACTACGATCCGTTGACTGATACAACGAAAGAGAGGAGGGTCTCAGATGCGGCGTCATGGCAAAATAACGCGGCCAAGGCATCATCGCCCAAGGTAAGAGGAGCTCATATTTGTTTGTCATTTAGCAGTGGTGTCTTTTTTTTCTCTTCTTCACTTCGTAACGGTGCGATGCGATATGATGCGACGCTCAGACGGAGCTAGCATTATTTTAAGTGACTTGAGCTATCGTCGCGTCTAGTTAAAGCATCACGTATCCATGTATCATGTATCACAATCTTCTTTGTAGTCGCGTCAATAGCAGCAGCAGCCATCAGTAATTTCTGTTTGCTTGCTTGCTCCTGCTGCCACCTTGCAGCAGCTGATCGTCCAGTGGCCATCGTTTGCTGCTGCTGATGTTGGCGGCGCTATGAGGTCGTTGGTGTTTGGTTGCTTACGCCCTTTGTAATCTTTGCTGCTTTCCCCCATCCGGATAGATTTTCGGAGACGATGGCGTGGAAACCGCTGCTAGACAGAAAAGCAAAAGCAAGAGGCAAGAGGCAAGAGCACCCAGCACCCAGCACCCAGCACTCTTTCTCTCCCCGCGTGGAGCAGGCACACGCGAGAACAAGAGCAAGAGCAACTGCAACTGCAACTGCAACTGCAGTAGCAACGGAATGCTTGGATCCCCTATTGTTCACGGCTTCAATGACACCACGTCCCCCCAGTTTTTTTCCCGTCCTCCTCCTTCCTTCCTAGCATTCTGTCGCTCGCTCGCTCTTTATCGTTGTCTTTCCTTCTAGCTGCTCTTTCCATCTCACCACACACACTTGGGAAGGCGCGCACCTGCCCTTCCGATTCAACGCTCTGTTCCTTCCCCCTTCTCCCCATCCACCTTCCACGCCCGCGCCCCCCATATCTCCGTACACCACCATCACCGATCCAGATCCATCCCCATCCCTTCCCATTCACGTTTTTCCGTTGCTGCCCTCACCCATCTCCAACTTTACCCGAATCGAAAATTCCTTCCCAACCCAAACCAGACCAGCCGTCAACCCAAAATTTTCTATCTTCTTTAATTCCATCGTGGTCTCTATTTTTCATCGTCCACGACTAATCTTTTTTCCCATTCTTTCATCTCCAAACAGACCCGCGATCCATACGCCAATTACTCCCAGACCGAGCCGGCCTCTCGAGACTCCCACGCCTACTACAAGAACGGTGCTGGCTACACGTCGCCATCAGCCGTCAATTTCCCCCCAAGGAGTCCGCGATCCCATTCGCACTCCCACTCGCACTCCCATCAACATTCAACCCGTTCCATCAGCCCGTCAAATCGGGCTACGCCGCACATGACATCTCCCAGTCTGCGGCATGCCGCTTCGCCCAGCGTGCACGCCTCCTCATCCAATGGCGGCCCCGTAACCTCTCTGCCGCCTCTGGGCAAGCCTGAGCCTTCTCCCTTGAAAGCACCTGCTCCTGCTAGTGTAAGTTCGCCATCAATTGATACTTTTGCCACGGACAACAACTCATCAAACCCCCAGACCCCTAGCCGCTCCGCCGACCCCATGTCCTTCTCCAACATCCTATCAAGCTCCGAACCCATCTCGAAACCAAAGTCAAAATCCCCCCCGCCCGTCGAGCACAAGGAGAAGGAGAAGGAAAAGGAAAAAGAGAAGGAGAAGGAGCCCAAGTCCGATCCCAAGCCCAACCGTGAGAAGCCTCGTTCTGTCGACCCGCCAGTCAAGACCGAGCGCGAAGCCGAGATTGAACTTCGCCCCGAGCCCGCCAAGGAGCGTTCCAGCACGCCGTTGGCTAGGAAGGAGAAGAAGGAGCGAGTTCCTCGTAAGTCAAAGTCAAGGGCGTCCGACATCAGAGATGCCGAGTCGACGCCCAAGACGAGCCGTCGCGCCTCCTCCAAGCTCGAGACGCCGACGCCACGCGTCCCTGCCAAGCGTCAGGTCAATGGCCAGCCCAAGCAGAAAACCCTGTCCGCCGAAAAGGAAAAGAAGGTCATGGCCCTGATTGCCCAGCTCGACGCCGAAGCCGACGATCTCGACGACTCCGATCTCACTGAAGAGCATGCACAGTTCCAAGAGCGCGGTAACAAGCGCCGTCGCATTATGCAAGTCAACGACAGCAAACAGAACATCCAGAGACGCGAAGAGTTCGCTTCGGAGATGGGCCGTCGCTTGACTGTTCACGCCGATCTCGGAAAGCGCCGCTACGATGATATTTACTACGAAGAGGCGATGAATGAGGTTAGGGAACGCGAGCTGTTTGCCGAAAAGGAGCGCAAGAAGGACATGCAGCGCAAGCGCCGTCGCGAGAAGTCGATGGCCGTCACCATGGAGCAGCAGAAGCTTGCCCTGGAGCGCGCCCGCCTGGCCGAAGACGAGACCGAAAAGGCCAAGCATCTGCGAGACGCCGAGCGTGCCAACAAGAAGGCCCAGCAGACGAAGCTTATCCTCCAAAAGGGCATCAAAGGCCCTGCTCGTAACCTCGTCGAACTCAACCTCGAGGGAGGTACCATGGCCACCTTCCAGGCGTCCGACATGGAGCCCGGCACGAAGCCCAAGGGCAAGGGTCGCGGCGGTCCACGGCCGAAGAAGTCAAAGGAACAGAAGCAGGCCGAGAAGGATTCCGCCGAGGCCGCCCAAGCTGCGCTCGACGCCGGCGAAGAGCTTCCCTCCAAGGAAGAGTCCAAGATCCGCATCAAGTTCAACAAGAAGTCCAAGGATAAGGACAAGGAGAAGAACAAGGACAAGGATAGGGATCAAGACGATATCGACATTGACCTTGCCGACGGCGGCATGGATGGGGAGGAAGAAACCATACTCGAGCCTGTCAAGGAGAAGAAGGGCAAGAAGGAGAAGAAAGAGAAGAAGGACAAGAAGGAGGAGAAGCCCGAGGAACCTCCCAACAAGGACGCCAAGTTTGAGACCAAGGGCTTCCTCCAGATTTACGACCAGATTTGGCGTGACCTCGCCCGCAAAGATGTCACAAAGACATACAAGATGGCGGCCGAGTCCTACCAGACCAAGGCCTCGAACCTCAAGAAGACGGCCATCCTGGCCTCGAAGGAGGCCAAGAGGTGGCAGCTTCGCACGAACAAGGGCACCAAGGATCAGCAGGCCCGCGCCAAGCGTGTCATGCGTGACATGATGGGCTTCTGGAAGCGTAACGAGCGTGAGGAGCGTGATCTCAGAAAGGCTGCCGAGAGGCAGGAGATTGAGAACGCCCGTAAAGAGGAAGCGGAACGCGAAGCCGCTCGTCAAAAGAGGAAGCTCAACTTCCTCATCTCCCAGACCGAGCTGTACTCCCATTTCATTGGCAAGAAGATCAAGACGGACGAAGTCGAGCGAAGCACAGACAACCCCGAAATTGCTGCCGAGAACAAGGGCGAGACCGAGCAGAACAGGAACCTGGATGTCGATGAGCCCACCGGCCCTCTTGGCGCCAAGGTCACCAACTTTGAGAACCTGGACTTCGACGAGGAGGACGAGTCGACGCTGCGTGCGGCTGCCATGGCCAACGCCCAGAACGCCATTGCCGAGGCGCAGAGGAAGGCGAGAGCATTCAACGAGCCCCAAGGTCCCGACATGGACGAGGAAGGCGAGATGAACTTCCAGAATCCCGCCGGCATGGGCGATGTCGAGATCGAGCAGCCCAAGCTTATCAACGCCCAGCTCAAGGAGTACCAGCTCAAGGGTCTCAACTGGCTCGCCAACTTGTACGAGCAGGGCATCAACGGTATTCTTGCAGATGAGATGGGTCTTGGAAAGACTGTCCAGTCCATTTCCGTCATGGCCTATCTCGCTGAGAAGTATGACATCTGGGGTCCCTTCCTCGTTGTCGCACCCGCGTCCACGCTGCACAACTGGGAGCAGGAAATTAGGAAGTTCGTACCCGAGTTTAAGATTCTCCCGTACTGGGGTTCCGCCGGCGACAGAAAGGTGCTTCGCAAGTTCTGGGACCGCAAGCACTCGACGTACAAGAAGGACGCGTCGTTCCATGTCTGCGTCACGTCGTACCAGTTGGTTGTCTCCGATGTCGCTTATTTCCAGAAGATGAAGTGGCAGTACATGATTCTTGACGAGGCCCAGGCCATCAAGAGTTCTCAGAGTTCCAGATGGAAGAGTTTGCTGGGCTTCCACTGCCGTAACCGTCTGCTGCTTACCGGTACCCCCATTCAGAACAACATGCAGGAGCTTTGGGCTCTGCTGCACTTTATCATGCCATCGCTCTTTGACTCTCATGACGAGTTCAGTGAATGGTTCTCCAAGGACATTGAATCTCATGCACAGAGCAACACAAAGCTCAATGAGGACCAGCTCAAACGTCTGCACATGATTTTGAAGCCGTTCATGCTGCGTCGTGTCAAGAAGCATGTCCAAAAGGAGCTTGGAGACAAGATTGAGGAAGACATCTTCTGTGATCTCACTTACAGACAGAGGGCCATCTACGGTAACCTGCGCAACCAGATCTCTATCATGGATCTGATTGAGAAGGCGACTGCCGGTGACAACGATGACTCGGGTACCCTCATGAACCTCGTCATGCAATTCCGAAAGGTGTGCAATCACCCCGACCTCTTCGAGAGAGCCGATACGAAGTCCCCCTTCTCCTTCGGCTACTTTGCCGAGACCGCCTCCTTTATCAGAGAGGGCAATGAAGTCACCGTGGGATACTCTACTCGCAACACCATTGAGTATGAACTGCCGCGGCTCATCTGGAGAGAGGATGGTAGAGTGACCCAGCCTGGTTACAATAACCCGAAGGCTGGCTGGCGGAATAAGAACCTGCATCATATGATGAATATCTTTACTCCCGAGCACATCCGAGACAGCTTGGAAGGCTCTGACGCCTTCTCATTCCTGCGATTCGCCGATGCCAGCCCCAACGACGTGTACAAGGCCACCCACCAGGACCTCTTTACCCGCGCGGTCGAGTTGTCGCAGAAGAAGGATCGTCTGGCTCTCATGAACGTGGCTTATGACGAGCCTGAAGACGCCAATTTTACTCCCGCCCACGCGTTGTTCGAGATCAAGGCCCGCAGAAACCGCCAGCCTCTTATCGACATCACCGAGGAAGGCATCCTGGCCAACTTGATGAACGTGGCCCGCAGCGACTACGTCGACAGTGGCCTGGGTCGCCTCGAGCAGGCCGGCCGGCCTCGTGCCTCTGCGCCGCCCATTGAGGTGAGCTGCAACAGCCGTGGCACCGCCCTTGAAAGGGAGAAGGTCCTGTTCAACATTCCCATGCGCAAGACCCTGTTCGGCCCGACCATCAACGAGGAGCGTGCTCTGGTCAAGGAGAAGATTCCCATTGAGCGATTCCCGCCCAAGAAGATGCTCCCCGCACCTGACAACGACAAGAAGAAGTTCACCAACATCTCAGTGCCATCCATGCGTCGTTTCGTGACCGACAGTGGTAAGCTTGCTAAGCTCGACCAGCTGCTGTTCAAACTCAAGGCCGAGGGCCATCGCGTGCTGTTGTACTTCCAGATGACTCGCATGATCGACCTCATGGAGGAGTACCTGACATACCGCAACTACAAGTACTGCCGTCTTGATGGTTCGACCAAGCTCGAGGACAGAAGAGACACGGTTGCTGACTTCCAGACCCGCCCGGAGATTTTCATCTTCCTGTTGTCGACGCGTGCTGGTGGTCTCGGTATTAACCTCACATCTGCCGACACTGTCATCTTTTACGACTCCGACTGGAACCCCACGATAGATTCGCAGGCCATGGACAGAGCGCACAGATTGGGTCAGACTCGGCAGGTCACTGTGTACCGTCTCATCACCCGCGGCACCATTGAGGAGCGTATCCGCAAGCGTGCCATGCAGAAGGAAGAAGTGCAGCGTGTCGTCATCCAGGGAGGTGGTGCTAGTGTCGACTTCTCTGGCCGTCGTGCTCCTGAGAACCGCAACCGTGATATTGCCATGTGGCTTGCGGATGATGAGCAGGCGGAGATGATTGAGCGCCGCGAGCGGGAGCTCCTCGAGAATGGCGAGCTCGAAAAGCCGCAGAAGAAGAAGGCCGGTAAACGCAAGCGCGTGGTCAACGAGAACCTTAGTTTGGATGAGATGTACCACGAGGGTGAGTTCATTCGCACACCCGATGTTGATGACGGCGAAGCTAACAGAATTCCAGGCGAGGGCAATTTTGATGATCGTTCCGGAGCCAACGGCACCTCGGGTACTGCCACGCCCGTGGCCGAGCCTGACGTGAAGGGAGCGAAGAAGCGGCGCATGGGCGGCAAGAAGGCCAAGACTCTGAAGCAGAGGCTCGCCCTCGCGGACGGCCAAGTGGACATGTGAGGCTCCTGCTTGGAGCACCTGACACGATAGAGAGCAAATACGGATTGCTCGTTTCAAAACAAGAAAACGGACAAGTGGATTGTAGCAATATGAATACGGACGGTACAAGCTGGGTGGGAGAAATTCCTGGCGTCGGAGGGACTGACTATGCGGATTGCATCAAGACGACGGCCACGGCCCAGTGGTTTGCTGGGACACGTGTGTTAGACTTATTACAAAAGCTTCTTTGTGTGTATTCTGGTTGGGCTGGGATTTGCCCTAGACGATCCGTCCCGTGGGGACGGAGATGAGATTTGATTATGGGGGCGGTCTTCAGTGTTTGTACGAGGCGGGCGGTGTCCCGATGCTAAGGTGCGGATGTATACTACTAGACAATGAAGTCGCTCCCGAGATTACTTTTCACTTGTGATGTGAATGATGAGGAGTGCCATGTGAAGTGCTGATTATTAGCTTATGAGTCTGATTGAGGTAGGCCCGTAGCCGTAAAGTGCGTGATGATAGCCAGTAAGTTCTGGGATGGCGTCCTGGCCACTGGAATTCCTGGATCACGTATCGATCATTCATCTTTACACCTCGCTTGCGTTCGCAGCATTTACGGAATCACCAAGATAGACTTGGTAGGAAAACTGCTCTCGCGATAAGGAAGAGTGGCAAATTCTTTCAGGCTTTATAGCCATTAGCATCACACCCAAACCTGCGTTTGCTTTACAAATCCGAGCGATGATGGCCCCTGGAGGAAATAGCTATACTGCCATTGAGTAATTTGGTAATTAAGCTATATATATAAAAAAAAAGCGTGTCTTGGTATATGTTTGGGCTTTATCATTCAAGATTCGTTGGCTCATAAACAGCAGAACAGAAACGCAACACCCGCTCAAATTCTCACAAAGGCAGGGCGAGCGCAACACCAGCGAGCGCGGCAAACGCCCATACGGTCGCCAGAACACCCACGCCGCCTCCAGAAGTGGCCATCATCCTGAGGCTGTTGGCCGCGTTTGCCCCCGTCTGCGTCGGGGCCGCGGTGCCGGTGGCGGCGGCGTCGTCCGTTGTTGGCTGGACTGATGCTGCTGCTCCCCCGTGGATCAGCGTATACGCCGGCTTGGCCACGACGGCGTAAAAGCTCTCGGTGATGGCGGATTCGGTCAACGTGGTGGTCACGGTACTGAACGACTGGCTGGGTACCGTGATGGACCAGACGACGCCCGCGACGGCCGAGTTGTTGTAGGTAAAAGTTGCTGTGATGGCGGTGTAATCGTCGGGGTTCCTGCCCAGGTAGCATGCCGTTCTCTCGCCGTACATGGAGAGCGGGACGGACGAGTAACAGGCGCCTCCCTGGAAGTCTATCGTGTAGTCCCTTTTATGGCTTGTTAGGTTTTGCCATCCATTTTCTGGGCTGAATTAGTTGCGGGGATGGGGGGGGGGGGGGGGAGGTTGACTTACTGAGGACAACATATGACTGCAGTCTCATTCTTATCCAGAACCTGCATGAGCAGATTCAACGGCGGGTTTTGCCCGAATAGAAGCCTTCGAGAGTCTTCGGAAGAGGCAACGGCCGTCGGCATGAAGATGCCCGACGAAGTGATGTTCCCGTCGTTGCCTTTGGAGGCCACACCAACGGTCGTGTGAGAATCCGGACAGGCGCTGGCCGGGGAGAAGTAGGCGATGGTGCCTATGTCGGAGGTGCCGACCGACTGCACCGACGCGTACGCATCATCGAGTTTCTTGCCAGAGGCGTAGCACTCGCCGAGCTTGGGCACTATGCAGTCCCGTTTGTAAAAGGGGGCAACGCGACTGGGGAACTCATCCTGGGTTATGGCGAGCCAGAGATTTGGCGAGGCCGTCGCGCAAGAGGCGGGCGCTGTAAAGACGGTGGTTAGAGGCCCGATGTTTGTAATGGCTACCTGGGAGGTCGACGTTACGGTAGGCATTGTTTTGATCTCTCGGTGAACCCGATTTAAATTTTTTATTTTTATTTTTTTATATCGTCTACTGAGCTGGCGCGGTCTTACCTTGGGAAGTTTAGGAATTACAGTAAAGGGATGTCTTGTTTTTTAATACGACAGCTATCACGACGAGCTTCGCGCGGAACGAGGCAGCTTTCTTTGGCCTTGTTTACCTTACCCCGGATTGACGGCCCAGGAGGGGTTAACCGCCCCTTGATTCACGCAGGTAAGCAAGCACAAGCCGGGCGAAGGATACCATGTCACCTGGCGTCCTAATATTTCCAGTTGAGCGGCTGTGCCTGCAGAGGGGGTTGGGCCGGCTTGGCGAGCCAAATTCTCGCCTGCCCTAGTCACGGAATCCGATCCAGGGATTGGATGTTTGCTGTAGTGGTTTTGAGCGGTGGCATGGCTTTCGGACTTTTGTCCGAGATGACATGATGTTCTCCTAGTAATGGTACTGTAACGGCTTGAAGAGTGTTTAAATTTCGTTTCTGAAGGATGCTGTTGAGAGGTAGAGATGGCAGGGCTGTTAGAGCAGGTGAGATTTGAGGTTACGGCTTGGAACCCAGATTGATTCTGTTAGCGACCTGTTGGTATCAGATCACCGCATCGCATGGTTTCCGCTGGATCCTAGGCCTCTGAAGGACGGTTGCATGGAGCTACACTGTTTGCGATCTCCCTCGGCATGGTTATCTGCAGCTTGAGCTTGATTTTGGGGCTATGGCATGATGCGTTGGATTTGGCGCAGCACCGAAGAGTCGGGCAAGAAATTGAGAGGGTGTCTTTGCCCTTCTCCGGTGGTGTGGTTTGCAAAGTGCAGAACAAGGTGTAGCGAATTGATTGATAAGATTTCCAATTGTTTTTACGCGAACGGGGCGGTGCATGCCCCGTTGGATAGGATTCCTGCCGATGGGCAGATGGCATTGGTGGCACTGGTGATGATGTGTTGATTCTGTTCACCTGTGTGAGTAGGTCCATGTTGCCTGAAATTGGGCTGTGTGATAAAGTTCATAAAATATACACATTTCAAATAGTGAATATAGAATAGTATGATGCACCAGAATTAATGCATAACTAGCGAATAAACAAGATGCTGACCGAATGAAACTTGGGTCATAACAAAACATTACACAATGCAAACTGAGCCCAACGCATTCGTCTTGCCATCACTAAGACACAGAACAAGAACATTTAAGCTGCAAAAATGCAAAAGATAACTCGACCTACCTAGGGATCGAACCTAGAATCTTCAGAGTATGACTTGGAGCAGCCGAAATCTGACGCGATGCCATTTCGCCAGCAGGCCTTGTTCTTGGATGTTGTTTCCGGACTGTTTGAGACTTGTGTAGGGAGCATGCCAGCGGGGCTGGAGCTGCATGTGGGGTTGTGGGGTAGCTCATTGTGTGATGGCGGTTGTGGCTGGTGCTGGAGCTGGCATTTGAGCGTGCGGCTTTGTTGGGGTATGGTTTACTGTGTTTACCTTGGTTTAAATGTCATATTGGCTATCATATGTCACGATTAGGTTACTGTTCTTGTTGATGAATGTGGTAGACGTTGGTTGGACTGGCTGTTGACAAAGGTAATGCTGAAGCCGGTCGATTGCTCAAACACACCCTTAACTGTCAGTCGCTCTGAGCCAACATCTCATAGCTTAAACATTCAAACACTGCCTTGGCTTTTGTATTTCGTTTTCATCGGTATAACTCTAACAGCTTGTCTTTTTTCTGACAACTCAAGGTCTATAGATCATGCAAGCATTCTTACCCTTCTTGATGATAGCTAGTCACATAATTCAGCTTTACCCTAGCTCCAACCCTGCTCAGAACTTACACAGCAATTCGAATCAGGATATCCTCGCCTAAATGTCGCCATCTACGGCCTTGTTCACTCCATAATTCCTACTGCGAAAGTTTCGGCACCCGCCCTCCACTATCCGATCAACACTCGGCCCCACCGCTCTATCGTCCCCAGCGTTGATACAGCGCCCGGCTGAAACTCATATATGATGAATCTGGTACCTGTTCTCAGCATTATGAGTGCGTTTTGTTGTTGAGAGTTACCTATCTTGCTGAAATCTCATGATAAAGGCGTTACGCGCTTGCCTATCTTCCGCTCACCAACCCAGCATATCACCATGTCCACTAGAAACAACCGTGCAGCCTGGCTTACCACCCCCAAGGCTCATCCTTTTAAAGTTGACAATGCCCCGTTTCCTTCAGCTGGACCCGGCGAGGTGGTTATCAAGAACGTCGCTACTGCTCTGGTGGGTCGAATCTACTCGGCGGTACTTCCACCACGTCGACGGCTAACATTGAACAGAACCCAGCGGAATGGAAAATTCAGTACTGTTGCACCACAACATGAGCTTACTGATGCTAAAGCAATTAGGGACCTCGGTATTATCGTTCAAAATTACCCTACTATTCTGGGAGCGGATGCAGCTGGCTACATCGAGGAAGTCGGCGAGGGAGTGACCCATCTCACGAAAGGACAACGGGTTATAGGGTACGTACGATGCCGCCGATCTCGTCCTTGAGGTTGTTGCTAACTCCAAAAAAACAGATACTGCACTGGCCTCGGGCTACAAAACCATGAATTCGGTACCTTCCAGCTCTACAGTAAAGCAACGGCGAACCTGGTATCCCCAATCCCTAATGACATGAGCTTCGAGAAGGCTTCGGTGTTACCCCTCGGCATCGCTACGGCCTCTGTCGGCCTGTACAAGAGCAAGTACCTCGGCCTGCCTCTGCCAAGGCTGAAGCCGGTACCAACGGGGAAGACGTTGCTTGTGTGGGGCGGCGCGTCCTCTGTTGGCGGTACTGCTATACAACTCGCAGCTGCGTCGGGGCTGAGGGTTGTCACGACGGCGTCAAAAAGTAATTTCGGCGGGGTGAAAGCCCTGGGCGCGGATGTTGTTCTCGACTACCATTCGGAGAGCCTAGTTCACGATGCGATTACTGCGCTGTCGGGGGTGGAGGTTGTGGGAGTCTACGATGCCATCTCATCTTCCCAGTCCTTGAAACCCATCGGCGCGATATTGGATAAGATTGGACCGCGAAAGGTCATAACTGTGCTACCGAACGAGGGTGACTTTGGCAAAAATGTTTTGTTGTCTTTTGGTATGTATTACCTCACTGGAAGGAGAAGCACATGATTCTGATGAGCCCATAGAGACGGCATTTCAGATTACCGAGAACCCCGAAGAAGTCGGCAACCCCATCTGGCGGGATTTTGTTCCTGGCGCTTTGGAGAGCGGGCTTCTGCAGCCGAAGCCGGACCCCGAAGTTGTCGGACAGGGGTTGGAGTCGATACAGTCGGGACTGGAGAGGCTTAAGAATGGGGTATCGGCGAAGAAGTTGGTCATCCAGTTTGAGTAAAAGTCCCTCTTCTGTAATCCCGTATTGAAGTTGTTTTTACTTAGAACCCATGAATTTCATATAGTCTTATGTGATTTCAATCTTACTTGTGCCCTCCAAGGCAAACCATGCAGCTTATCGGTAAGTCTCGGTGAAGCCAAGGTGAAGGTTTCACCGAATCCTCTAGCACGTGAAAATGGCATTGCAAAAGCGGAGGGGGGATTGGTCCGGCTGCCTCCGACGGAACAAAAGAAGGTCATAGTGGGTCCGAAGTGGGGTCTTGAGGCCGGACTTCGGCTCTTCTGTTGATCCTCAACGTCACGCCGCATCCGGCGGGTCAGTGCACCAAACCCCGCTATTCCCACCATACCCCTTTGGGCTGACCAGCTGGATGCAAGCTGCAGACAACTCCAGTTCTAGACCCCCTCCGAGGTTGCCGGCAGCACTGCGGCTGGCATCCAATGGCACTGAGTACCACTACATGACTGCCTGGTTGGTGCACTAAATCGTCATCCACTTGCTCCCTGGTTGGAGGGGTCCTTTGCATCCAGATTCGGAGCCCAAATCAAGACCATCCGTACTACTTCTACTACTACTACTACTACTTCTCCTCTTGCGCTCGGCCACCTCGGGCCCCAACTATGGAACCAAGAACAGACCAGATCAGTCCATGACTCTCTTTTAACCGTTTGAATCTATTGTCAGATCCGTCTGTGTTCCCTCCACACCTTACCCTGCATACATTATACATATTGAACCTTGTCTCCAGTAGCCTACTCGCAGGTACCTCAGCTGAACACACACACTTTGTCTATTTCCAATCTCCAGACCGCCATGGTCTCGGAATTATAGCTCCTCAAAAGGCGCCAACGCCCACCTGATCGACCAACACTATCTCGACTTCTTCCCCACGCTGTTGGTTCCCCTGCGGTGGGCTCCAGAACTGCGACTTCGTTCCTCGCCCGAACCCCGCCTCCCGCCAGCAACATCCCAGTTGTTTGGCTGTTCAGCTGCCCCCGACTCAGCTGCCAGTCGCACGCGACACCAAGACCGCCTTGTTAAATCACTGCGAAGCTCCTACTCGACCCCTACCAGACGTCTTGCATCTTCTTCTTGCAGCTTCAAGACCTGACGTCAGTGTTACGATCGATTTTCAGTTCCAATCTCTCCTCTACACGCACCCACTATACCTCTGCGACCGACCTCTGCGAGCCTCTCCGCGATAGCGAAACGAAGACTACCCCCGCCACTATGGCCATCGACGTACACAAGAAGACAGATGAGGCGGTCCCTGGGCCGTCCTCGAATGCAGGCATGACTAGGAAACCGAGCGACTCGCACCCAGCCGGCCGTGTCAAGCACAACAAGTTTATGCAGATTGTTCGCGGAGTCTCCTTCGGTATCTATTTCTCCAGCTGCTGTGCAAGGCATGTCACTCTACAGTCCCCCGCTCTGCTCTGCGACAGGAAACACGCAACTAACTTGGCTTTCTTAACAGCATCTTCATCACGCAGCTTCTCGGCGCATGGCTGTACTGGGTCAACCGCGAGCTGTACTACGCTTACATGGCGTTGACGAAGCAGTCCTTCGCCCTCACCACAACAGCTATGACGCACATATGGGGGCCCACCACGATACGCATAAGCGGCGACGCCTCCGTCGCAGGCCAGATCAGACAAACCCCTGCCGGCACGGTCGAGTTCGATTTCCCTGAGCGTCTGGTCCTCATTGCGAACCACCAGATCTATACCGACTGGTTGTACCTCTGGTGGGTGGCCTACGCCAACGAGCCAGGCATGCACGGGCATATCTACATCATCCTGAAGGAGTCCCTCAAGTACATCCCCCTGGTCGGGTGGGGTATGATGTTCTACGGCTTCATCTTCATGTCGCGCAAGATGTCGACGGACCAACCGCGATTGGCGCACCGTCTGAACAAGCTCAAGAAGGAGCACACCGGGCTCGACGGCAGGAAGCACCGCGACCCCATGTGGCTGCTGCTTTTCCCCGAAGGTACGAATCTATCCGGCAACGGGCGCAGAAAGTCAGCCGCCTGGGCCGAAAAGTCCGGCATCAAGGACCCCGAGCACCTCCTCCTCCCGCGGAGCACCGGCATGTACTTCTGTTTGAAGGAGTTGCAGGGCACACTTGATTATGTCTACGACTGCACCGTCGCATACGAAGGAGTTCCGTAAGTATTTTTCTGCCATTTTCTCATTGATGTTGACAGTGAGCTAACGGCATTCAGTCGCGGAAAATACGGTGAGCAGTACTTTACTCTCTCCAGCACATATTTCCAGGGTCGCCCGCCAAAGTCGGTCAACTTCCACTGGCGCCGCTTCCGCGTCGCCGACATGCCCCTGCACGACCAGAAGGAATTCGACGCCTGGGTGCGCGAGAGGTGGTACGAGAAGGATGCCCTCATGGAGGAGTACGTTGCCACCGGCCGCTTCCCGCCGAGCGAGGACAACAAGAAGGGGTACATTGAGACCGAGGTGCGGCTGAAGCACTGGTGGGAGCTGGCGCAGGTTTTTGTCGTCGTCGGGGCAGCCGGACTCATTTTCCGCATGGTTGTCAACACGTTGCAGCGATGGGCTTCGATTTTCTAAAGGCCGAGGGATGTATTTTGTGGGGTGATGTGCTTTCTTTGCGTGCGAGAAGCTGGGTAAACGGTTGTTGGACGGCCCGCTTGGATATGGTTTTCATGATTCCCCCCTCGTGGTTGATGTTTAGCGAGCGTTTTTCATACATGGAGATTCGGTGCTTTTGCTTTGGTTACGACGGTACATGGTGTACGGCCTGATTTTCCCCTCATTGGTAGCGCTTGGCACGTTGATCTATGAGGGTATCTCATATCGCTCGCTGGTTTAGAGAGAATATACAGAGATGAACAAAAATTTGCTGTTCCAATGTGATTAGGTGGAAGAACTCAGACCTACTTGCTGCGGATATGGCCTGTTGGTTGGTTCAAGTACCTCTTCCAAATCAGCAGTTGGTGCGGTTACGCACTTGAAACTTCGGAACGGGTCTGAGGAAGTAAAAATACCTTCCCAGGCAGCAATGGAGGCCTCGAAAAGCCAACCTTTGAAACCAAATACATGATATTGAAGGTTATCGTGGTCACATACGAACTAGTTTTCGAGACTGCGGCTTAAAGGCGCACGCTTGGCCTAAATGGAATAAAGTAGCGGAGTTCTGGAGACTACGTTTGAGGCTGAACTGTTGAGCATGACCTAACTGGAGAAGGTTCTTGTCACCTGCGTCCAGTTGCATGGTGATTTAATATCACTGAGGAGTCGCAGAGTATTGCTAGGGTGCCTTGCTATCAACGAAATGCATTCCTTATGATTGCCCTGGCTATAACACATCCTCGATGCAGCTAAACAGTCTTGAGCTTTCCAGTTTGACTCTCGTTCAGTCTCTCAATCGCCGCCTTGGCCCCGTCCCACCTCTTTCTCTTCCCTTCAAAATACCGGAAAACATGAGGGCTGTAGACGCCAGTCATCAGGAGATTGCAAAACCGCGGCTCCTGCAACCAAAACTTCCATCCTTTCCAGCCCCATCCGAGGTACTCATTTATGCCGGTACCGGCCATCTCGTTGGCCCAAGCTGTCCACTCGTGGCCATTGACTAGCTGGGCAAAGACGGTGTCCTTTTTCGCCAGCTCGACCATCCACGCATGATGCTTGTCAACCGCCCGTTCCATTTCCTCTTGAGGAGGCAAAGGCGAGTTCCCCTTCCATATCTGCGTGACTACCATGGAAGCTACATCATAGAGCTGGAAAGCTGGAGACGGAAAGACCACGCATCCCATGAACGCAAGGGACTGCGGGTATTTGAGCGACAGGAGATTTTGGTACAGCCTCGGAAGCGGCTTGCCCCTGGATCCATCGGTTTTGGCCCACTCCGGCGTGGTGTCTTTGTTTGGGTCATCTTTGGGATCCAAGAGACTGAAGCTGGGTTGATATCCCGTGCAATAAATAATGGTATCGACGTGGGGCACCCTTCCATCAGTGAGTTCAACCTCATATGGTCCGACAATCCTGCGGATACCAGGTACCGATTCGATATCACCACGCTCCAATGCGGGGACGATTTCGTCTGACACAACAAAGAAGTTGGTTCGGATGGACGGCGCAGGTGAAAGTTTCCACTCAGGCCGGATGTTGAAGGCGCTATCTTGCAGTTTTCTGATGAAGAAATTGAGCATAGCTTCGCTCAGTTTCGGGAAGAAGCGATCGAAGAGAGCGTGAAACGACATGAAGCGAATGGTAAGGGGATGGTCCACGGGCTTGCCGTTCTTTTTCCGAGGGATCTGCGATGCGTCAAGCTTTACGAGCGACTTAAGTTGATAAAAAGGCAACTTACGATAACGCAACCCTTTCTATGAGAGGCATAAATTTTGGTGGCATGTTTAATAAGGGACACTGCAATGTCAGCGCCGCTGTTTCCAAGGCCGACGACTAACACGGATTTGTTCTCGAATTTCTCAGGCCTTCAACATACACTTCTGTTAGTAGTACGTGCGATTATAGCTGGGCTTTTTCGACATACCTCTTATAAGACTTTGAATGCACCTGTTCCCCCCTGAAGGATTCGATGCCCGCGATACTAGGGTAGTTCGGCGTCTGGTTGGTGCCTGTTGCCATGATGACCTTGTCGAATACCTCATCGGGACAGCCTTTAATCTCAAGTATCCATTTATCGGTGCTGTCATCATGGTGTACACGTGTTACGTTGGTGTTAAAGCGCATATGGGGACGTAGATTGAAGTGGTCCACGTATCTCTCCAGATACTTTTCTACTTCTTCGGCGGCGCAAGTGCTTGGTACATCTTTCTAAGGGGATCAGCATAGGTTACAACAGAAGCATTACACATTGAGCTCCAACCTTTGGGAAACGGAAAGTCTGTGAAACATCCCTTTTTTCAAATCATAAGCGCTTCATAATCGAAAGGGGATATTTTCAACCCTCTGACTTACCCTCTCCGTTGAGATGTTGACGATTGTTGCTGTGACTAGTTATTCATCCCGGTCCAGCCAAGCAAGATAGTGTTTGACAAACATTGAAGAACAGAAGTCTTGTCTTCGTCTGTGTACCGCCAAAGCCCGCCTGAGTAGGAGTTCCGCTCAAACCCACAAACATCAAAATCCTCTTCTAGGCAGTTTTTCAGGGACACGATTCCCAAGGCACCTGGTTCCGTCAGTGTGAGTGAAGGAATACACTTAGCATAGGCACGAACTCACCTAGCCCGATCACAGCAACTCTATTACCGCCAGCCATAATAGTATACTATGGACCTCTGGATCATTTTTCACGAGATGGATGGAAGAATGAGGAGATGCGAACACCTCCTGACTTGTAGTTTTGATCTCATTCAGCTGGAAAAAGGGGGCCGTCAAGGTGTCTTAGACCTGGCTGAACAAGGTGCCCTGTCGTGCATATGCTGCGCCGCTGTGGCGTTCGCTAAGTCGTCCAAAAGTGGTGTATAAATCGATGGGTTTCCGCATGATTAGATGCGTCGCCGGCGCCTGATTGGGTGCCTTGAAATCAGCCATGTTCATCTCGGAAGTCGGGACACGTTATCTGGAGGGGAATTGGTTTTCCCTCGGACCTCCGGGAGCTGTATCGGAAGACCGTACAATGGCACCCGAAAGTCCTTCGGATCAAATGTGTATCTGTTAGCAAACCATCAAGTAACGGGGCCACGGTGGCGTGTCAGATGAGACATGCCTCCATAATGACGCGGCATAACACCACAGACAAAAACCCTTGGCAAGACACACTCTGCCAATAACTTTTTCAAAAACATCTGGGGTGGTCGCGACCAAAGTTGCGTAGTATTACGCATGTGAAAAGTAGGTCACGTTGATTCATAAAATGGCTTGCGAGCCCAGTAACTGCGAACGGCCGATTTGAGCCCAGCTTCAACTCGACCGCCGCCTTGCTCATTGCACCTAATACCATGCCTATCAACCTGAAGGAGAACACAAGAAGAGAAAAGACAGGAAGAAACCGTAGTGATTCCAAAGTAAACTCTTCTACTCCTGCAACCGTTTTCCAACACCTCCCATTTCTTCGTTGATTTTCTTGGGCTGCGAAATAGCTTCAAGTCGAGAGCTTCATGTGGGAATTGGGGGGCTCGGCTTTGGTAAATCTGGGCCTCGAATGGGATCGATTGTAACAATAGCATTGACCTCGGCCCACAGGACCTCTGGGAAACCTTCTTTCAGGGTTATTTCGTTATAATCAGTAGTCTCGATGACAGCGCCGTTGTACCATCCGACAGGAGGTTCCGATGTACTCAGGACTTCAATGGTGCCACCTGCTCTGAGTTTGTTTAGGTACTTGTCAAGGCATGCATACTGAGACGAAGTGGTTAGCCAGCTGCCAACTTAACAGACCTAGTTTATAGAGCTGCAGAACAGGGGCAGAGAGAGAGCTTACTGGATGGAGCGAGACGATGTACTGTTCAGCCAAGGCACCGGCCATGAGGGACACGAAAGTGAAGAGACCGTGCAAATTCATGTTGATATTTTGTTCAAACCCCAAGGAAGTGTTGAAAAGCGTCTGGCGATAGCGTTGTAGGTGGGTTTACGTGAAGCTTCATGAGAGCAGAGCGACTAGACACCCTTTTATAGTTCAAATTTCTGTATAGAACAGCAGAAAAATCACTTCAACATCCAGTACTCACAGATAGGCCTTTCAGGTTCCCACACTTAGCTGTGATTTACAGAACCAATCGAACCCAATCGCGTACGCCAAGTTGTTTCCTAAGACATAGATGATGTGCAAATTATGTCAAAAGTCCAGTGACAAGCGTGAATCGTCTCCCTAATTTACCTGTCCACAAACAGAAAACCCTCTAACCGCCATGAGACAGTTATAGCCATTGCCCCTCTTGACCCTCACATTCCTCTGCGGCAGATCTGCATCAGCTCCCCGTTGCGGGCATTCCCAAAATGTTTTATCCAGACCACAAACGGGAATCACACGTGCCGGAAGAGGTCGAATCGGCTAACGCTTTCAATTCTCGCCGGATGCAACCGCTATTACAGAACCAAATCGACTAAATCCTCCTCAAAATAGAAACATTTACGTACACCGGTATGGCATCAACGGGGCCCCTAACCTTTGCCCATCGGCTCGGCGTATCACGCCACTCTGCCAGGTTAAAATGTGCCCCCCTCCTACCTCGTCGACGGTGAGCTTCACACCACCATCAAACATGTAAATGTCTTGCAACATTAGACCTTCTGGCTGAGATACCTCAAGAGAAGCGGACCTCGCTTCCAGTCTTCGCGCTCTCCTTGACGGCTTCGATAATGCGCAGAACGTCACGCGCCTCGCTGGCCGGTACAGGCACGTCCTCATCCCTTCCAGACTCGACAGCCTTGGCGAAGCCCTCAAAGAGCTTGAGGTAGGTCTTGGGTTCAACAGTCAACTTTGTCCTCTCTTCGACCTTGTTGCCATCCTTGATGAGAAGCAATCTGCCGCCATTGATGGGGTCCTCGACGCCAAAACCTGGCTCGTTGGGCTTTCTGCCAGCTTTCAGCTGGTCTTCCTGGGGATCGAGCGCCGTCTTGTGGAACGAAGCATTGGTTCCACGCACCCAGAACCTCGGCTGGATTGTCTCGACGCTCATGACCCCGATGCGCACACTGACAATCAGGCCGTTCTTGTACGCCAGCTGAGCATACACGCTATCAGGGTCTTCAGGGTCGAACTTTCCATCGCGCTGGTTGATGAGCTTGCCGTAGACGGTCTCAGGAAGACCAAAGAGGTGGTAGGCCTGGTCGATGAGATGGGAGCCGAGATCATAGAGTGCGCCGCCACCCTCGGCCATGCCCAGCTCGCCTTTCCATGAGGTAGGTCGTTCCGGGCGGTAACGGTCAAAGTGGGTATCAAACTCATAAACGCGACCGAAGACGCCATCACTAATCATCTTCTTGATGGTCAGGAAGTCGCTGTCCCATCGGCGGTTCTGGTAGACGCAGATGAGGCGCTTGTTCTCTTTAGCGATCTGGATGAGCTCCTCGGCCTCGGCAACGGTGGGCACAAAGGGCTTCTCGACCAGAACGTGCTTGCCGGCCTGTAGGGCCTGCTTGGAGAAGCTGAAGTGGGTGTTGGGCGGTGTGAGAATGTTAACGATGTCTACCTCGGGGTCCTGAAGCATAGGCTCCAGGGAGGTGTGATGCTTCAAGTCGGGATAGTCATTAGGGGCGGATGATGAGGCTGTTGGCTTGCGTTGAACAATGCTGTGCAAGTTGAACTGGGGAGTAAGGTTGATGAAGGGAATGTGGAAGACCTTGGCAGACAGGCTACAGAAACAGCAGGTCAGTATTTGTTAATCTTTGGATGGGAATACCACAATCAGAGGTTATTCCGAATGCATGTAGAGGGATGGTCATGATGATATATGATTCCCTGTTCCAAGGTGGCGCTCAACTTACCCGTATCCAATGATACCCACGTTGAACTTCTTTTCGGCAGACATTGTTAAAATTTCTTGCTTGATTTAAGGATAAAGATTTTTAGAGCAATTTCTGAGATACAGCTTCGAACAACCTGACCAGCTTTATATGTGTCGTTGAGTCGTGCACTTCACCATGAAGGAGTTATGAGGGGCACCATGGAGAAGATGGTGGAGTGACGGGCCAAAATTACCCCATTGCGTCACTAGGGACAAACTCGGCGCTTTTCTCAATGGACGACGGAAAAAAAAGCCCCATTTTCAGACGGCTGGCCAAGTTAAAACCTGGGCGCTAACTCCAGTTTGACACACTGGGATGACCAAGCACGCAGAACTGTTAAAGTTACCCAAATAGGTCACCTTGGTAAGAGTAAAGAAGCTCACCGAGATCGGTGGCAACTCGGCATTCAATGTCGCGCGCGCAGTACCCATTTTCTCCTACATTTGCCTTATCACCTCATTCGCAAGCCCTGTTAAGACTACCCGCGATGAAGTATACAGTTGAACTGACCTATCCTGTCAAATGCCAAGTAACTAAAAAGTACTTCTTATTCATGTACAAGTACGCCAACTTTTACCCACGCTTCCTTTCAACCTTGATTATTTCGTCGGCTACAAAAGAGTTGGCTGCCCCTTGACACATGCAATAGGATAGGGGTATTCTCCGCTTTTGTTAGATGAATAATTCTTCGAGAGACGGTGGGTCATGTCAGGCTTTGAAAGCTGATCTGCTTTGTTTTTTCTCTTTGCAATTATAGTAGAACCCGAATTTCGGGGGTACATTGCCCATTGCTGCGTAACAGAAAAGCGCGAGTGAGTCAGAGTCAATCCGACCCAAACCTGTCCCCAAACAGCCCTAGTTCGCCTTTAGAGATCGTAGTTCATTCTTTATTCGATTATCCAGCCCAATGGCATTTCAAAGCTCACATAATCCCGAAGTCCAGCAGAACACAAGAGCAGTCGTTGCTGCACGATACCGAGCCCCGAAATGGACTTCGACAGACTTTACCATGAAGCTCTAGGAATCTACGATTTTGGAGTTCCCGAAACGATTAAATACCGATAGAAAAGACCACTCAACTGGAGAGATTGGTACATGGACACCAACTTACAATTGATGCGAGAACGAAACGTATACTTGTATCCCTAGGCCAGGTACGAAACCTAAAATAAACTGGGAACGATCCCCGATTGATCCCAGATTGATCCCAGATTGCTCCACATGGGACCCACCGTATATCCCAGTACCATTCAACTACTCTTTTAGCTGAGGACGTAACCTTTACTTGGGGAATTCCTGATTATCCACATACCAGTGAAGGAGGCTATTTATACGTAATCTCAACCAGAGATCTTGCACCAGAAGAAATCCAAAAACCGTGGGACCAGGTATGCTCCAAGATCGTTAATAGGTCGATGTACGTATTAACACACTATTTACCCAGGTGCAATTTGCTTCAAAGGATGAGTGGAAAGCTACTGGTGTGCACTGTGCCTACCTAAATGTCGGTAACTGTCGACGGGTTGTGAGGGATTGTACAGGTTGCCTTGCCTGCGAGTTTCTCAGCCCAAAACTTAAAGAACCATTTAGCGAGGTTCCTGAATCAACATGGGATAAGATGACGTCTCTTACAAGGGAACCCACTGGTGGTTGTCCCCAAGAACTAGCAGTTGCCTGGGCATATTCAATAAAGGAGGCCTATCGACTGCAAAACACCTCGATGTGTAGGGAAAAGACCTCAACATGCGAGCCGCGTTGGGTAGTGACACCACCTTCAGTAAGTGTACATGTTCCCCAATAGATCGAGGGCTAATCTGCGTAGGGACTCGACTATCCACCACGACAATATGTACAATGCATCAACTGGTCGCCAACAGAAACACAAGCCCATAACTCATCACTAGTTCCCGCAGAATACGGTCCTCATACCGAAATCATCCAAAAGATTATCCAAGAGCCAGCATTCATCGACCAATATCATGAGACTTGTAGTGTTTGGGACCAAAACTCAAGGAGAAAGAAGAAATGCGGTAAGTAAGAGTTGAGGTTACCCTATGGATTATACCGAAACTACCATCAGGCGTTAATCACAGTCAAGGCCAAGGGAACATAATACCTTTGAAGTTTGATATCAAATTCCACTACTTCATTCCCTTTGACTTAGAAGATTGTCCATACATATTTCTCATCTCGCAAGGACTACATTCGCATCCGCCTCCCCCGCCAAAGAAAGTTTCAGAAAACGTCCTTCAAATATTGACCAATGCAGTTCAGTTAGCAATGATTCCATCCTTATCGCTTCGTACGATCTCAGTTTTGCCTCAAAGTAATACACAGTAACTTGATACTAATAAATCTACAGATACATTTGTGGATAATCAATACTATCCGGAAATCTGCGAAGTATTCCACAGCCCTGGCCTCTGTGATATCTACCCAAGCCTGCAAACTCGAGACAGAACTGCCGCTGTCTTGAAAAAACAAAGTCTTCTTCATTTCCCAGCTGCCTCTTCAGCATTAGGCCTACAATAAATCTGGGACCGGGCAAAAAGAAGGCAATATGATGACCAGGCACGTATCATAAAAGACAACTTCAATATTAATCTAACTCTATATAGTATATCAAGTACTTTTGTAGCAGTGCTGCTGGCCTCTGGATGGCTATTAGTTTCTGGCAGGACCAGGCAGAGTTTTGGAGGACTGTTAAGACGATCCAGGTTGACGTAAATCATCAATGTCAGACCAGGAATGGGTGAAAAGGAGATCATCCTAAGATCTTGGGTACCAGAACTTGAACGAAGTAAGTGAAGCCCAAGGATTGTGCGCCCAGATTAGCCTAATAATAGCTATAGGTGTTGTATTAGCTCGAGGACTTATTAACTCAGACGATCCTAAAACATATCGTCTTTTCTTCAAGCAACTTTTTCGAGCGCTCAAGGAGAAAGTACCTGCGATCCACTTTAGCTGGTGGCATATTCCCTCTCAGCCCCAACCACACGAGAGGTACTGTTGCCGACTTCTTGGCTTCACAATGGCTATGGATATGAAATTTCTCCAAGATATACCCGAGATCAATCATAGACATACACGGATCTGACAACAATAGGCATTGAAGACTATTTCCAGGAAGAACTCACATCATCTTACCCGCGGCAAAAATGGATACATACGAGCTTGCTCGTGCGGTTCTGTAAGGTTCATTTTCAACGGGAAATTGAAGAATTGCTAGGGATGAATTGCAGTCGAGAGCCTGGATCGTTGTTCGAATCAATGATGTCCCTTTAACAGTCGAGACTCAAAAAGGATGGTCCAATATAGTCACCGCATTGCGAAGTAAGTTCCATTAAGTTTATAGTAAACGCCGGCTAATGCTCAATCATCCAAGACAATGAAGATCAAAAGATTGTATGGTGGGCAAGAAATAAGAATCAGAAACACATCCGAACTGGCTTGAACCAAGTTTGGTCAATGGTTCCAAAGGAAAGCTGGGATCAGCTTACATCCCATGCGAATGGTATTGAGAATCTTTATCACTACCTACCTGCAAAAGGCGGTAGACATAAGTCTGTAGCGGTAATATGGGAAAGGTGAGCGGCTCAGAAAGATTTAGAACGAGTGCAAAAGCAATTGCATGCTAATGGCTTTTAGTTCTCGAATGCAAGACCTCTACATGTGCCAAGAAGGTTTAGCATTCAAGCACTACAGAATCTCCTTCCCTTACATCCAGATATCGGGACATAGCAGAGAGTCACAGAGGTTCATTCAACAAGGCGAGTCTCATAAACAATGTGTTTTGTTCAAAGTATGTCTAAGAACAATCTAGGGAAGCGTAAACGAGACCATTATTCTAAAGTAGGCGAGGTGTATAGGCGGATTAGCGAGAACCCGTACACCAATTCCGAATCATTCCCACAATCTAACTCACCACAACTACCTTCCTCGCCACCTATCTTTCCCACAAGCTACCCACCAGCATCATTAGCTTCTAGTCACCCACTAAGTAGGGCTGTTGAAGGCGATGACTTGATATCCTTATATTCTTCATCGTCGGAAGACACCCCCTACTTGAGGCAGTCAAGGGGACTGATCTAGGTAGAATACCAGTTTGATATTTGACCAAGCTTTCGCTAACCATAATTATTTAGTTCATTACCTAGACAATCTGCGCAACATGTGCTGCGGCAAACTCGAATACGTACACCAGAAAGAAGAGGAAGTCGGATTATAGCGGCAGGCATGGAATTATCTTCTCTCGAAGAACTAGGACGCCTAGAAAGGTACATAGCCTTGGCACGAGAGTGCCATCAGCTAGCTCATAGGTGAGTAAAATAGTGGTTACCTAAACCAATCATAGATCAACCTAGCAAAGAGCAAAACATCAATTGCATTCATTCTAAGCCATTGTATTTGTACTGGGAGCTACTTTCAGAAAAGCTACATTGCCAGTCTTGGAGATATTGTTTTGCAAGATCCTTTTAGGATACCTTGTTTGATGTTACGTTTTCCTATTATATAAAACTCAGGCCACCGTTCGGTTCTCCGGAACCAAGGTTGGGTTTTCAAAGCCGTGCCCAGGACATTTATTCGTCCCAAGTCTTGTTGTAGCATGAGTCGCTCTGCACGGCTTGTAAGCACAACTCGCTTCGTGCACCACACCAAATACGGCAGCTATATCCGCCGGCCGCGACCTCATGTTTATTTCCTCATGTTCATATCTCATGCTTTGTAATAAATGCTTCAAAGAGAAGGTTCGGGTGTATTCTTGCGATCTTTACGGTACCTGTGTGTCTCATAATGCATAGTCCGAACAGTTGAGTCACGGCAGTTGCTGGTTTACCGCAGTGGAAGCACTCTACAATGAAACCGGGAGCTGCATGAAGTCCTACAGCGCAAATATTACCTGTAAAGAAATGACATGATAACTCGGAAGAGCAAAAGGAGAGCTTCCGCGCAAATGTTCAACTGCCGAGCCTTAGAGATGGGGAAGGTTATGCTTCAGAGGAATGTCAAACAACTAAGAATT